GGCTCCTTCTAGGTTGGAGGCCATCGCTACTAGGAGCAAGATGGAGCAAGGACGCTGCTAGTAGCTCCTGGCCTTACTACTAGGAACAAAGAAGCTACTAGTAGCAAGGCCGCTATTTGGTTGGAGGCCATTCGCTTAAAGTCTCTATCCCGGCTGATCATCGCATCAACAGCGCCTGTAGATCCTGCTCACGACGGTCAAGCTCAGCACTGCGCCGTGCCAGCTCGGCCTCAACAAGCGAAGGCCAACAAGCGAACTCCCGGTAGCGGGTGGCCATTCAACCCTGTAAAGGTTGGTCCATTGCAGTCTTGTTCTAACATTTCTACCTTCCTCCAAGCCGGGAAGATAAAGTCCAAAGGCTTCATTGCCTTTTTCCGGGTTTGGATGGGTTTGGGAAGTTTGGGTTCAGCAGCGGGGTTGGAAGCGCAGTCAGGCCAACGGCAAGTCACCAGCAACTTCAACTTCGGACTGGCAAGTAGTCTGCGACACAGCGGCACGGCTCTGGATAGTACCGCAAGCTAGTCTCCCAGCTTTGATCACTTCGTCAACGAATTCAACTGCAACGGCCCCGCCTTCACTCCCAATGGCTGTCGTCCAGGGCATTCACGACAGCAATGTCCAAAATATTCAAAACTAAGAACGCTACTAGGAGCAAAGGGCATCGCTACTAAGAGCAAGGACGCTACTAGGGGCTCCTGGCCTTACTACTAGGAACAAGAAGCTACTAGTAACAAGGATGCTAGTAGGTTGGAGGCCATCGCTTCTAGGATGAGGCCATCGCCAGCAGGTTGGAGGCCATCGCTTCTAGAGGGTTTCTCCTGACGCTCCTCCAATTCCCCTCGCACAGCATCCTACTTCAAAATAGCAACCTCAGCCACGCCACCCAACAAACAGGCAACTGCTCGGACACTGAAGCAGAACCAGCCAAATCCAGGCACGACTAGAGTAGAGTCAAAAGCCTAAGAAAGTCACCGATCTACGGTGGGATGAAACTTGAGCACGAGCAAAAGCAACCCGAATTAGTAGCAAGTTTCACTACTGCAAATACGCAAGTTCTATCTCCGTTTGCAGTCCAGTTGCAAAATATTGCAAGTGAACATGCATGTCAAAATCAATCACAACTATTGCTTGATAGACTCCATTGTCTGTTGTCATGAACTGGTCCACGTTCGTTGTGAAGAAACAAACGTACAAAAAGGCTAATCCCCCAACACAGTTGGTATATACCCTGCCCAGCCGGTCCCTTGCTGCACGCACCTCCACTCTGAGCTCAATCAAAGCCCATAGCTGTTCTGCGATGCCATCCACATCAGCCTGCAGCCAGCCAATCCAACATCTCTGTTCGCATGTTCGACTGCGAAATACCGCAAACCTGAGCAGGCATAAAAAGCAAAGCAGCGAACGCAAAACAGAACTATTCAGATTGTTGTTGCTATTAGGTTGGAGGCCATCGCTAGTAGGTTGGAGGCCATTGCTTCAGATTGCAAGCTCGGTGCCTTCATGTTATGTGCAAAGAGCAGCCAGTTTTTGGGCCCGAGCTTGCAGACTTGGAGCAAGTCGAGTGAATTTAAGAGCAGATGGCACCACTGCAGCAACAGCAGACCAGCAGCACCCTTTTATGGTGGAGAGCCATTTGGTGGTTTTTGTGAAACGCTGGAGAGCCGGAGACGCACCATGGCACAGTCTTCAATTTCAAGCGTCAGAGCAAGCCTTTGCTGAGGACAATTTACCCACAACAGAGTCAAGCCAGACTCTTGCTTGAAGTTTCCACTGCTTTCTGTCCCATGTCAAAGAGCTCACTGTCCAAAAGCAAAGCTTGCCCTTGAAAAAGAAGGGCAGCATCTCCCCTTTAAGGAGTGCACATTTGCCCATATTTCCGCAGGTCCGTCAAGAAGTGTATCACATTATCACATTCTATTCTTTGGAGGTATGCCTCACTCTCTTGGGTGATGCAGGACATTCACCAAGCAATGAAAAGACCTGGGCAAGCAATTTGCCAAGCGATGCCAAGACATGTTTCTCACTTGCCTTGTCCGTGCTCACAGACAAACCTGCATGGAAAAATCGATCGTGAACAGTGCTTTGACGCCACATGTTTTGCCATGTAGCAAACTGTGCAGTCCTCTACTCTCACTTTGATCAGCATCAATTGGTGTCCAGTCCTCGAAGCATCAATGAGAGGATGAATCAGCGAAATGAACTTAATAGCGATGGCCTCCAACCTACTAGCAATTTCCTCCAACCTACTAGTGGCTAGCGGAATATGTGAATGAATCGGCGAAATGTGTGAAATGTTGACGTCAAAAGTCGAATCGGCCACTTGCGGGGGCAAACAACTCGAAGACTTCCCACCTCCTTCCGTCTTCGCAGAAGTGCTGACATAGGCTCTATGCCATCCCCTGAAGTCGTGTGAGCAAGAAAGAAATGAATGAGACCAAAAAAAGTATATTCTGAGATGTCTTGTCACGTCGTAGACCTGACACGGTGTATCTAGACCTCACAAATATAGTCTCACAGTGAATACTGTAGTTCAGAATTGAATAGATTTCGGGCAAAACTGTCCAATAGTATGGGCTTTCAGATTGCCGAACAAATCTGAGACTCCCAAAGGCTGCGCGCAAAAGTAAACTCAACATGACATGCTCCTGTCATCTCTGGTTATGGTACACTTAGTCGGGGTTAAGAATTGTAAAGCGTGGTTAGGTACAGGTCTCATAGTGTCCTAGTCTCCTTTATAGCACTTCTGTTCTGCCCACCGCCTGACAGGGCAGGGCTGGATTTTGCGCGGGACAAGGGCTCTGTCTTGTTCGTCTGAAAAGCCACCTGCAAATAGAGCGGATGATGCAAGAAAATGCACCAAAAAGAACACTAGTTTTGCTTATTGAAGCATGCATGCATTTGTTCCGAGACAAAGCACTTGGAGGAGGTTTTCAAACAAACCTCTGCCTCTTGATTTTCTGTTGTGACGGTAGATAGCACCTTGGGCTGGCTCTGTGTCTGGATGCTCAGTTGCAAGCCACGCCTGAAAGCGCTTTGCTGTGGGCGTGTTTGAATCAATTGCCATGCCCAGCCTTTGAGCAATGGGTTTTGCTTTGGAGGGCGACAGCTCCTTGAGAATGGCAAAAAGATCTGAGAATCAAGATAACGAGAAGCATTGTTTGTATGTTCCTTTTTGTTTTTGTGTTTGATCTGAGAGTTTGGCTTGACAAATGAATGTATGGTCCTGATTGGAGATGTCTGGACCCTTGATGATGGGGGATGTCGATCCTTCGTACGACAAGCCGCGACAATCAAGAGCAAGAATGAAGTAGGTAGTCGCGATGGCCTCCATCCTACTGGGGATGGCCTCTACCCTAATAGGGATGACCTCCAACCTACTTGCAATGGCCTCCAACCTAAGATGGAAAAAACATTGACATGTCAAAAGATATCCTCGTTGGTCCAACAGCGCTCTGACTCTCTGCAGCTCCTCGTCAGTCGTACGAAGTCAGATATACAGCATTTGCTGATAGCTTCTTGCTCTTAGTCCTTGCTACTAGTAGCGATGCCAGGAGCTACTAGTAGCTTCTTGCTCCTAGTAATGCCCTTGCTATTGGTCCGCAGAGTGGAATGTGCTTTCAACAATCAACTATAGACTTTTGCCGTTCATCTGCTGAGGACCGACTGTTTAGCTTGTCCTGCTGAAGGGATTTCACTTCCATGCATTTGTCTTCGAACTTCTTGGCCAGCCATGCCTCAAGACTAACAAAAAGAGGCTGAAACCAGACGAAAAGCAAATCACTCCAGAGTTGTTCAATCTTCACATCACCTCACCTTCTCCTCCTTTTCCTTGTCAACAACTGTCAAGAGCCACTGCACGCCACCCTGCCACTGCAAGCTTTTGGTCCAAACTGGGCGAAATCCGCTCTCAGATATTGCCCGTTCCAAGCCTGCATTTCCTGCAAAAGACTGGATCTGCTCTCAGTGTTTCACCAATTATTCACTTTCGCAAGTGAAACAAAGGTTGAGCCAGTGGGTCAACCTTACGCTTGGCCTCACTGCGGACTACGTGCAAAAATGCTGTGAACAGCCATGGGCAAGAAAAGAAGTAGCCTGGTGGTCCACATTGGCAGGGCGTCCAGCCAAGCCCGCAGCGCTCTGCGCAAAGGAAAAGTCTGTGCAAAACTGTAAAGCACTGAATGTTTCCGATTGCAATTGCTTGTTCTCTTAGGTTGGAGGCCATCCCTATGAGAAAGCAATGTATTTGAAACCTTCTCGCTGGGCAACGGTGGAACAGAGCTGCCAGCGCCCATGTCATCGGAGAGTGCTCAACTGATGGTTAAGAGAACAGAACGGATGTCAAAAGAATGTTGATGATGTCAGATTTCAAAACGGACTGTTGTAGATCGATCGATTTGAATTCGTAACTCGCAGCACTGGTTTCGTCGCTGGTTATACTACAACTTGAATAGTAAACATGTCTATATATCCATCCCAAAATATGTGCCTGGCTTAATAAAATGCCGTGTCTGTTCTTCTGTGATTGCCTCCACGCGTCTTTACGAGTTCTTGCTGGAGCCGAGTTGTTCAGTGGGTCATATCTGAAACGGATTCCACCCATTAATTATAGCCATATGATGCCATATGAACAATGTCATGTGAAAAAGGCTCATACATCTTTCACACCTTTCGCAACTCAAGTGTCCAAAATGCTGAACATAGCACTCTTTTGCGCTCCAGCCCTGGTTCCTCCCCACTTTGACCAACAGCGCTGTCGATTTCGGGGAGTTCGAAAGGACCCATTGGGCGTCACCGAGCTTGGCGAATCCCTGCACCACAGGCGTCGAACTTCGAGATTGGATTGATTCTAAATGTGAACCGTTTCCCAAGCTTCTTGTTACTACTAGTAAGGCACTTGTTCCTAGTAGCGATGCACTTGTTTCTATTACATGATTGGAAGCCATTGCTCTTAGGTTGGAGGCCATCGCTACTAGGCTGGACAGCGCACCTGCAAACCTTCGTCACGGCCGTGGAACGGTGCGAGGCTGGCTGGGCACTGGTGGAGCGCCTTAGTTACATCAGCTATAAAAAAATATAGATGTATATATATACATATGTGTATACAGGTGAAACGATTCCCAAGGAAGCTTGTAGCTACTAGTAGCTCCTGGCCTTACTACTAGTAGCAAGAGGACGCTACTAGTAACATCTAAACATTGAAAGCGAAGTAGCCTTTCATGATCCTCTGTTCCGTGTACCAGTTAAGTGACGTGATGTCAAAGTTCATCTTGTGCGTTCCATATGGGTCATTGAATGCTTTTGCAAAAACTTTGGTAGGTAGGAGTCTGGCTCTAGCAACGCTGGATGCTGGTTGCAGTACATATTTGGGTTGGATGGATTGTTGCTGCTGTTCCGACAACAGTTGTTTCTAGGTTGGAGGCCATCGCTAGTAGGGTGGAGGCCATAGCTACTAGGCAAATTTAGATCCAATTGTATTACATGTGTTTGGAGGCCATCGCAAGTAGCTTCTGTCCAAGCCATAAGCATCGACAAACAGGAAGTGAAATCTTTTCCCCTAGACCGTGTGATGATGGTGCCACCTTTCTTGGCAACAATGTTCCTAGTTGCTTTTTGCTACTAGTAGTAATGCCCTTTGTTACTAGTAGCGATGCCTTTTTTGCTAGTAGCTTCTTCTTTGCCTTCTTTTTTCCTGCTTGTGTTGATACTGCGGTTGGCATCGCCAGCGCTGCAGAGTTTTATGTTCTTCGCTCCAGCGTCGTGTTGGCAACACTATGCATTCGGCGCTTGTGACACACACTCTTCCTTTGCGAAGGGCACTAAGTGTCTTCATTTTACCTGTTTGCCTTGACCAAAGATGATTGGCAAAATAAAGAAATAGATACTAAAAATGATGTTTCTTGACATGGGATTGCCGAGGTTTTGGCCATTCATGTCTACCTGTCATGCTTATCAGTCTACAGGCTTTGCTTCACTTCACATCGGCTGCTATGGAAAGGCTTTAGGGAAAAGGGCAACACAGGAAACGTAGCAACAAGACATATTTGCGTTCCTGCTGCATATGAAGAAGGCAAAAACCTGAAGCCACCACTCCACACGCCCAAAAGGTCAGTGGACAAAGAGGAACAAGGAAAAAAAGTAAAGAGAACATAGATCTATATAGATGAGTTTTGATAACTTTGCGAGCAAAGAAAGCTCGGTGAAGCCTGGGTGACCAAAGAAGCATGGTGAGTGACAGTTCAAGAGATGGACCAACCCCAAAGATGTGGAAAGTCATCTGCCCCAATGCACCCAAGCCTACCATACTTCACGACGTATCACAGCCAAATTCATTTCCTACTTGCCAGCAAATGTATCAGTGGTTCGCTACCTCAGGGACTCAATATATATATATATAGTTAGTAGTAGAGTGCAGGGCACGAAAGGACATAACAAACACAAAGAAAAAAACGTTATGACTCATATTCATTGTATACCTTTTTGTTCGGGTAAGTCGAAGGAACAATGCGGAGAAATGTGTACAGCGAAACGCACTGGTCAGGAGAATCTGGAACACACAGAAAAAGAGTGCACTGCCTTGCCAAGAGTTCTGCATTTGTTCAGACACTATAGCATTGATGATAGAATACAAAAAACACGGATGTGGACCCAAACAAAGGGGTCGACACACTATACATACTCTACCTTACCATCCCCCAAAAAAACATAACATGTTTAAACACAATAAACCAAAAGTTGAGTCCAAACCAACAAGGCGCCTCTCCGCGGTGCAGGGGGAGGGTATCCACTGGGGACAGCTGCGCCATCCACCCTGCGCGCCGAAGTCAAACAAGTGAAAAAAGGAACACAAGTAAACTGATGCAATATTCATGAGGATGAAAAACTGTCATCAAAGTTGTCCTAACAGCATTCGTGTGACTGACCAATCCTGGGACTTGAGCTACTGCTCGATTTTGGTCGTGGTGGCATTGGAGATGCACTCCTGCAACACATGCCCACGGAGGTGGTTCTCGTGGCCACAGTTCGATCTTTTGAGTTATTCTGAGAGTCAAGCAGGGAGTCAAGGCGCATTTTGGTCTCTGTGTGTGTACCCTTTGGATTCAGACGGTGTGTTTTGGCATTTTCAACTGTGACAAGCAGGGAGTCAAGGCGCGAGATCACCAACCTTGACCAACGATGGTCCGAACGGCCATGCCCTGACTAGACTGCGAGACCGCCCACACTGACCTCTTGGAGTTTACCAGCTTCCTTCTTCCTTCACCTCAACAACGCATGTTTCATTGTCCTCCTTCTCCTTCCTCTTGAAAGATAAGCAATTGCAAGCCAGATTTTCGTTTGCTGACCCATTTGGTTCCTCCAGAACCAGGTCCTCGTGCACAAGTTCTTGGACCCTTTGTCGTGCACGGGGCCACGAGAGAAGCACTATCTGTGGCGTGCAAAGGTAGACCTCCGAGATTCCAGCCAAGGGCTCTTTTGCACAAGCTGAAAAACATTAACTTCTCACCTTCAAAAGAGCACATGTTCATCTTCAAACAGGAAAAGCATGCATTGCTGTATAGGAGTGCATGATGATCTGCGCGTTGATTGTATTGGAACAGGATCGTGCGCTTACAGAGAGAATGTGCGGAGCAGAAAAAAACAGGAGGCGCGCTTGTGACATAAAAAAGAACAAACAGCTCCTGTTTTGTTTGAGCAAAGCTACCTCTCGCGGCAAAAACATGCAACAGCATGGAACAGCCTTCAAGTGAGGGGGTCGCATGACGGGCATCGCAACCTTGTCTGCAAGTGTGGCTCGGGTTTCCTTGCTCGGCTTGGTGTCCCTGGTCGCAGTGGAGCTCCCGCCGAGCACAATGCATGCACCGTCTCCTCAACAGCACTTGGTGCAAACAAGCAAAAGAAGGCAGTAAGTTTGCCTGTCGACCTGTCGCCTTGGCTTCTGTTCTCGTTTCTTCTCCTTTCGTCTATTTCTTGCCCTTGGTGCAACTGCATTTGAGCGTTGGCCAACAACGTTTAGCTTCGATCGTAACTCGGCTCCTGAAAGCCCAAGCGCTGCGCAATCTGCAAACAGATCACGTTCAGTTTCTAAACAAAGAAGCTTGCTAAGGCTGCTAAGATCAGAAAGCTTTGGGATTGCCATGCAGCTCAATGCAGCTCCGTGGCGTTGCCTGCAAAGGAGTATCACCCAACTTGGTGCCTGCCTGAGCAAGCCACTTGGTAAATCAGCTGAGCTTTGGTGTCGCAGTGCCACCAACTTTCAGCGGCCTCAGGATCTGCTTTCATCTCAAGCAAGAACTTCGCCGCCTCCCACAGGAAGTGTTATCTTGAGAGAGAGAGAGTGAGAAAAAGAAGAAGAAGAAGAAGAAGAGTCTATGCATGTATTGGTACGCATATTAGATTGTTCTATCCCTTTTGTATATTTAAAAAAAAATATATATATGTCTAAAAAAAAAGAAAATTATATATATATATATATAGTACCCCCATGGACTGAGAAATGGAAGCACTTTGCAAAACTAGCAAGAAAAAAGTACCACATGTGTGCACATCGCAGAACATGGTCAACACATTTCAACGATAAATCAATTGCCTTGGACTGCCTCAAATCAATGAGCATCACAATGAGCATACCATATTGTGATAATGTTATTGCTTGTAAGCACATCCATCTGCTTGTAAGCAGTGACCACTGAAACCTGTCCACACAAATCCATCGCTGGACCAAACCAGTCCAACCAATCAAAAACATAAAAAAAAGCATTGAGTTGATGTCGAGGAGAAAATTGCTAATACAGTCAGAAGAGAGCATGAGTGTTTTTTTTCTTGAGATGTTTGTTTTCTGTTTTGGACATGGGTTTCGATCTAGGACCTTGGTTTTTCTACCTGAGACAAAACATACCAACAAAGACATTGGCGTCTATGCTTTAGACGAAGTCTCCTGAAAACCTATGACAAATGGGAATGTACTGGCCTGCGGTGCCGCTAGTGTGCTGAGACTTGTGGTATAGCAAGGATTTGTTTGTGACGCAATACCACAATTTGTGCTGGGGGCCTCATGTGAAGGACATATTCTTTTTTGCTGGAATCGATATGTTGCAAGGCTTGATTTTGCTAAGCTCTGTGAGAGCAAACAGTACCCAATGACTTTTATTGCAGGTGCAAGTTTCCTGCATTGTGATTGTTGTGAGGACAAGGTATCTGCATATTTTTTGAAGCACCATAAGAGGTATGAAACTCTGGTATGGTCTTATGGGACTCATACTGGGATGAGGCGCTTTTTGTGTGCTAAGGTTTCTGCTGAGCCAAGCCCACAACTGTTCAACAAAGTTCCTCGTACTGGCCTTTCTTTGACAGCTGGGAAATTGCAGCAGCTTGCCAGGGGGGGTTGTTGCATGCATAAATACATACTGTATCTATGGATGAAAGTGGAAAGTCTGCAGGAGCAGAAAGTACAGCAGACGTGGTCATGCAGAAAGTACAGCTTGGCCTCTGCATGACCACGTCTGCAAACGAGAATGAGTGGAGTCTCCCCAGCACCATTGCGGACCTGGTCCAGTTCTTGAGTTCTTGAGCACAACTGTCAAGTATTCTCACCAGTTGTGTCTCAAGCATCTAACTGTTCAGGCCAGGTGCGTTGAGATCTGCCCCAAGTTCCACTAACAATTTCATGGCCGGCATCCTCAATTCAACAATTGTCAGAGCATCTGCGATTTGAGTTCAATCTTTGTGAACAATTTGAATTTACATTGAGGCCATCGCTATTAGGTTGGAGGCCATCGCTATCAGGTTGGAGGCCATCGCCAGCAGGTTGGAGGCCATTGCTATTTTAGGTTCATAGCAGCTGATTAGCTCCTCTCCGCAACCCAAGCTTCTTAGCAGCCTCGGATGCAAGGTGCAGAGGTGTAGCTCCCTGGGCATTGCAAGGATCCACCTCAAGCAAATCCATTCACATCGTCTCCTTTGAGAAATTGGAAAACAAACAAACAAACTGCCTCCACTCCGTAGCCCATGAAAAAGCTGATAAGCTCCACATTTCCAAGCCCTGCTGATGCATGTAGCACCGTATCCTCCGATCAATGCTTGCAGAAAATGCAATGATGCGATATGATTGAATGTGTTTCAAGAAACACAAATTTTGGAAAAAAGAAGTTAGCACCGGTTTGCATCGGGAAATGGACACCCCTGTAAAAAATTGAATATAAAGCTCGTGTCTTGTTTCTTTGTCTTTTTGTGCGTGTTCATATTGTACTTACTTACTTACTTATTTACTTACTTACTTACTTTTTTATTGACTTTCTGTCTTTATGTCTTTATTTCCTCTTTCTTTCTTTATTTCTTTCCTTCCTTCCTTCCTTTTTTCTTGCTTGCCTTCATGTCTTCCTTTCCTTAGTCTTTTGTGGACATTCCTTTCCCCCTCGACTAAGCTACCCTAAACGGTAGTCTTTACAGAAATGTCTTTGAAAGAAGACACCAAACACAAAGGAACCAAACACTGTGATTCCATGCAATTCCTGCGTCTCCAGGTGGACGGCTGCAAAGTCAACTCCATGTGCAGCCATTGTCTGAATCATGGCCTAAAATTGAATCTAACGCAATCAAGCAAAACACAAAAGGCACATTGTCCATTGAACTCAGGTGAGGCCATCCCTACTAGGTTGGAGGCTGCTATTAATGGATGTCATCAACTCTCTCCGCAGCACTGAGGTCCAACGGAATCATGCCGCCACACTGCATCCAACAATCGTGCGGCATCCGTCCAATGCTCCATGTGACTCTCCTGCAAACAGTAGCGATGGCCTCCACCTTGTTCCTAGTAGCTTCTTCTTCCTAGTAGTAAGGCCAGGAGCTACTAGTAGCGTCCTTGCGCTGCTACATACTTGCTTGCAGTTTAGAGCAAGTATAACCCTACCACACATGGCTTAGATCAGCAATCCAGAACTAAGTGTTACACGAACGTCTCCACAAGCAAAGAGCTTCCGGAGATGATCGGCAACTTCCGACAAAACGCACTGCTACACTGCAGGTGTCTGTCATATTTAAAGGGAGAAACGAACCGGGGGGGTGGAATATGATTATATATCTACAACAGGGACAAAAGCCTTTTTGCTCGTTTCTTAGTAAGAACCGGTCTTTCATTGCAGTAGCCACAACATGCCTTTAAACAAGAAAAGAAACTGCAGCTGTTCGATTGTTCTTCCGAGCGAAAGCGGTACTATTGACAAGAACACAATTAAGCCTGACCTTGGAAATGCCGCGCACACGGTTCCTCGTTCACTGAAACTACATGCTCTCATACACCATACACAGAGACCACTATGGCCGCTATGGCTCAGGAAAATGGCCACAAGGCTGGATGTTCCTAATAGCTTCTTGCTCCTAGTAGTAGGGTAGGAGCCCCTAGTAGCGTCCTTGCTCCTAGTAGCGATGCCACAAGCCCCTAGAAGCTTCTTGTTCCTAATGTGACCATGGGATCCGTCTTGGCACGGTTTGGTCACAGTTGTAAACCGAGATCTCCTACCCTTACGCTCTTAGGTTGGAGGCCACTTCTGGGTTGGAAGCCATCACTCCATCACTCCTACCCTTACCACTTTGTATCAGCATTAAATCATCATTCAAAACCAAACTGCTGGAACCCAAACAAGGGACACTTTCACAGTGGTCACAAGGTCGGTATTGAGGCTATGCTGTTTATGCATGTTTATGACGTTTCCTTACTTCAACATATGAGTTAGCGTCAAAAATACATGCTTGGAGTGTTTTCGTTTCACTTTTGTCAGTCCCCTATCGTTTTCCATGGTTTTGGATTTTGCAAGTATGTATACATAGGGGTATCGTTTTTTGTCAGTCCCCTATCGTTTTTCAAGGAAAATCACGAAAGCAACGCAGAGATGAAACGTCCCTTACTAAAGTGGTTGATGATAATTTTGAGGTTGCCTCATATACAAACTCTGTTCAAGCAAAGGGCTTTCCCACATCTGCCAACTCTTGACTATGCTAGCTTCTGGCAACAAGATTTGACGAGACATAAGCGTTCAGCTCTCAACCCAAAGTCTACCATCCTTGTCTTTTGCAGCGATTACATCGTCGCATGCTGGGCATCTATAGTTGTTTCCTTGGTCAATCGCTTTGCACACTTGCTTCCAGTCTTTGAGAAAGAGCTATTAGGCTGGAGGCCATTGCTATTAGGTTGGAGGCCATTGCTATTAGGTTGGAGGCCAACGCTAGTAGGTTGGAGGCCATAGTGTTACCAATCCCGGGCATTCCAAACTCCCAACTTTCTTGAGTTCAGCCTGGAGGCGATAGCAGAAGACACTGTGAGATACCAAGTTGTTGGAGGGGATATCACGGCCACAGTTTCCGCATGAAGAAAGACCTGGACGAAAGAGTGCAAGTGTTGCACATTTGTACAAAGCGGGTAGAAATAGAAATAGATGATAAAGTCGTCCCAACCTCCATGAGACTCCTAGCAAGACAATGTGTAACATGTCCAACCAAAGTAAGTCGCAAACTTGCCCCACACCCTGCTTGGGCAGCAGCTTCACCTCCAACCTAGAAGCGATGGCCTCCAACCTAATAGAGTGGATGCAAGTTGTTTTTGACACATTTCATCTCCACTCCTCCAAGTTCATGACCTCTGGCCGTCCTGATACACGTGTGTGATCTCCGGACCAAAAAGCGTTAAGATCCACAAGAGGAAGGATCTTAGGAGCGATCGGACGCTACTAGTAGCTCCTGGCCATACTACTAGTAACAAGCAGCTACGAACGGAGCATTTCGGGCATCGCTACGATGCGATCTGTCTTGCGTTCGATACTCCAGACTGACTTGCCTCGGCTGTTTGGAGCATGTGGACGCGCCTCCACAGATAAAGCATGTCGCTTGAAGTGGTGCAAATTCATAAGTGCAACAAGAATTCTTGAGCTCATATCTTTCCTGAACCTGTTTTGAAACAACGCAGACCAGCTAGATTAGATATAGAAGTTATGTGTCCTTTTCAACAAGGTGAGACGACAGCATCCCCTTTTTCTCAAAAGGCGAAAGTAAAACATCCGAGGTCTGAGGTGTCAAGAGGTCTTTTCATCGCCGTCAAACCCCAGGTCAGAGAAGCAACGCGAAGCAAAGCAAAGCGAAGGTCTTTTCATGCGGCCGCTGGAGAGGCCTCACGATAGAATGGGGATTTTCTGATGGCGTCGACGAAGGCTGGACCTTCCTCTGCCTGCACCTTGGCCTTCAAGGTCTCTGGGGTTTCTCCGGGCTCCACAGACACTACACGCTGTACAACAATTGGGCCTCCATCAACCTCTTCAGTGACCAAATGCACTGTGCAACCACTTTCAGTTTCGCCAGCATCGAGGACTGCCTTGTGAACCTCCAAGTCCATGCCTCCAGCATGTTTTGGAAGCAAGCTGGGATGGATGTTGATGCATCGACCTTCCCAATCTTTGCAGAACTCCGGGCTTACAATTCGCATGAAACCACACATCATCACCAGTTCCACCCCTTCTTCGCGAAGGACCTTCGTCACCTGAGCATCATACTCAGCACGAGGAGTACCTTTTTTGCACGGCACATGCACTGCTTTCACTCCTTCATTCTTGCCTCTTTCCAAAATGCCAGCATCTCCCTTGTTCGAAACCACCAGCACAATCTGTGCATTGAGTTCTCCCCTTTTGATCGTGTCAAAGGTCAGCTGTGATGAAGAGCCACGAGTCGAACCAATGAGCCCAATGCGCAGAGGAGACGCCATGGCTTCGGGTGCACTTGTTATTCGTAGCTTCTTGCTGAAACTCTTTGAACAAATATGAAAGAAAACTTTATGAAGAGAAACAGTTGTGGCACGCTGGTTTCAAACGCTTCTGCTTTGCTCTGGTACTTGCTGAACCCACATATTCTCAGCCTTTGAGGTCCAGCCAGAACAAATTGCTCTTTCGACAAACATATGGCTGTTAACTATGTAACTACCCCTCGCTACTATGCTGAATTCTGGGACATCATATCACTACCCCTTAGGATTCAGAAGGTTTACTGCGAAAGAAATGCTCGAGACTTTGCAATCTCCGCCTCAATCCGGTCAATCACAGCTGCTGTTTGGGGTCGTGCATCATGGGCATCGTCAGCCTCGAGCTCCTAAGCGGAGTTTGGTCATCCCACGCTCCTAGCAGTTTCTTGTTACTAGTAGTAAGGCCAGGAGCCCCTAGGAGCGTCCTTGCTCCTAGTAGCGATGCCCTTGTTCCTAGTAGCTTCTTGTTACTGTTAGTAAGAATGCTCCTAGTAGCGATGCCAGGAGCCCCTAGTAGCGTCCTTGCTCCTAGTAGTAAGGCCAGGAGCCCCTAGAAGCGTCCTTGCAACTAATCCAACACAAGGTACAAATAACCCTGCACTGAAAAGTTCGGATTGTCTAAAGTTGTGAAATGCGATACTTCTACATCATTGCTTTCCGATGCGACTGTGAAAGAAAAATGGGAAGTTTCTACTCTGGAAACTTGTGTGACAAAGAAACGACTCTTGGTCTGCATACTATGTTCTTATATAATGTAACTTTTCTTCTTCTAAGTTCGAGGTCATCGCTTCTAGGTTGGAGGCCACCGCTGCTAGGTTGGAGGCCACCGCTTCTAGGTTGGAGGCCACTGCTTCTGGGTTGGAGGCCATCGCTATGAGGTTTGTGTGACAAAGAACCCTTCAAAGTCCTTGATCCGATTCAAAAGGATCTGCGTAGTGGAACGAAAATTGTCAACCATATCATCCTTCTCCCGCTGGAGGCTTTGAACCTTCGAGAATTAAAACAACTGTCTGTCAAGTTTTTGAACCTGAAAAGCTATCTGTCACTGTTATTTCCTGACTTCCTACTAGCGCTAGTAGGTTGGAGGCCATTGCTGGTAGGGTGGAGGCCATCGCCATTAGTTAAGTTTGATTCACGACTTCTTCACGTTTTGAGTGCCTTGGACCGCAATCGCTTCACTTCAGACTTCAACAGGTTGAGTTCATTGCTCACCTGCGTATCCAATAGCGACCTGCCACCATGAACGCCGCAGTCAAACATTGTTTGTTGGATCGTTTGTAAGGTTGGTGCCTGGCCAAAGCTTCGCTTCCACGGTAGCTGCCCAAAAAACAATCTTCATCGGTTTGGCTTGCGTCCTCGTCTTTGTCATCCTCCTCAGCCAAAACAAGTACCACTTTTGCGGCTTAGAACCTGCATCGTGATTGATTGAAACCAACCAAAAGAATCCCGCAACAAACAAGTCAACAGTGCCATTTGCTGCCTACTGTCCTCATCAATCATCAAAACCGCTTTGTTTGCATCACGGCCATGGCAAATAACAACAAACCATTGTGAATGGTTGTTCAACTTAGGATTGAGTCGCATTCGACATTGTTGCTGCCACTGTCCCAAAATATACGGTTGACGTGGATATGTAACATATATATATATCATCATCAAAAAACACACAACCATTTATTTGTGTTGCAGCTTGTGTGACACACCTGCACAATTGTGCCCAGGTGAAACGCTTCGTTGCATTGCCGGATGTATGGAACTGTCAATGGATAGGGTTGCGTTGTCAATGGATGTTCGGCCTAAAGAGGAAACACTAAACGAAAAAATAGTAACTGAAGACCGGCTGAAAGCAGCCAATAGACACCGTAAAGAAAACCAACTAATCAATGAAATCCAACACAGTTGGAGAGATCTCGAAAAGATGCAAAATAAGTGAGCAGTTGGAAAAAACTGGAGACGCAGCAAAAGAGGCGAACCGAGCAATCCAAGAAAAACCACCAGCAAGAATCCGTTGCATATTTTTTGTAAATTTGCAACCAAAACCACCGCGTCTCGGCAACATGAAAAGAACTCAAGGACGCGGTCTCTTGGGTGACTGGTTGCGCTTTGGCTGGGTTTGGCTTGAAACTCTCTGCTTCACTCACTGCACCGATCTTTTGGCATCGCTGCCGTTGGCTGTGGTGAGCCGCTCGGCATTGAGGTTCTTGAACAGAATGAACACGAAACAATGAACTGGGTACATAACACCACCATCAACCCCAAACAGCATTTGTTCAATTGGTCTGCTGTCAAGCGCCATGGCATACACACAAAAACATGACCTGACAATCCCAATTTTAAATTGCAAAAACCCTGACGCCCCATGGCACTTTCGAAACATAGCTGTGCACTTTTACAATGCAAGCGTGTGCGTTCAAAATCGTTCATCCAATGATACAAGCATGCGTTTTGAAACCAACTTTTGCGTGTATCTTTGGGTCTTCTTTTACCATCAACCACAACCTCAATCTCAAGCACGAGAATGTGCACGACAACCGCGCCAAGAGCAACTGGGAAGATTGCTCTTTTCACATGGCCTTGGCAAAACACCCAATGATTTTTTCCCGAATGCGTAGCGAAGGGTTCTCGTTTAACTCTGGGGGTCTGGGGGTAGAGCCTTGTTCGCGACCCGTTGTTTCTATGTTCGCAACCGTCCGCAACCGTCCGCAGTAGGACGCTAAGGCGCTGCCATTGGGGGAAGCTTTTGGAGTGGGCTTCGGATGAAAACATGACGTGTGAAATAGCGAGGAATCGTGTGAAAATGTATTGAAGTGGTGGTTGAACAATATTCTTTCATCCTGGAATGGCCATTCATCGCGGAAAAAAATATCTTTCGCGGATCTTTCGCGGCCTCATCGCGAAGCATGGTCCTACAACCATGTCTAGCTAACATGAGCCGGAACATGTCATAGTATCACAAAATAGGGAGAGACATCTTGCAGCATGACCCCAGTAGATGGTTGAATGTTTCCACAGCTACTCAGGGTCACTTGCAGCATCTGTGCGACAATTGTGACAAATAGAGTCAGGCGCAACTCAACCCAATCCTCGTGCCAGCTACCAACACAGGGTGATGCAACTTGGGGAATGTTGGGGGGCCTCAAGCTGGGAACCTAGACTTTAGCGGCACATTCGCGAAACTTTCGCGGATCTTTCGCAAAATTTCACGGGCACTTTCCACAGGAAGCTGTAACATTTGCAAACATCTGCACAGCCCGTCAGAGAAGCTGTAGGTCGTTGCCTCACTATCACGGGCTGTGCCTACCCAGATTACTCGTCTGTGACAGTGGGGACAGAAATCGGAGAATCCCTTACGCACTGCCAGGGCTGGGCACGGAAATGTTGAGGCTTCAGTTCGTTAGTTTGTGACATATGGCGACACTTCCGCCCACTGGCTCTGCCGGAGGATTGCCTTGCGTTTCTATTCTTTGTCAGCCCGGTAGAAAGGAAAGCAATGAAAGCGATGACCTTCGATAAATCTTTCGCGGAAAAAAAGAGATACTTTCGCGAACCTCATCGCGAATCTTTCGCGGATGGTTCTAACAACATCTGAAAGGCTGTTTTATATAAAACTCCTTACACGGGGTTTGAGATCAACTCCCAAGTGTGGAGGATGATTTCACTGCGCAGGTGCAGCGCTGTGTGAGATCCGCAGTTTGCTGCGCGGTTCCATTGGGATTACTGTTTGGAGAGTCGTGTTTTTGGGGTGTTGGATGTGGCCGTGACATTGAGATTCAGGGTGTGGCATCGAAGCTCTGTTTTCGTGACAAGTCTCAGCTGAAATGGCGATTTTGGTGGATGGGTGTGGTGCAAATTTTGCGCAAGCTCACATGAGATGGTATGGTCACTTTTCGTGGCAGGCGCAGTACTTTGTGCGGGTTTCGTTCAAATACGATGAACGTGTGGAACAACCCAGAGCTTTCGAGAAGTTCTTCTACTCCCTCAGCCGAAGAGGAGAACAAACACTGATGTCATACCGCACGGAGCACAGAGAGTGTTTGCGTGAAGTCCTGATGCGCTCAGTTGTTGTTGGAGTGTAGAACGAAAGAGTCTCGTCGGTCAACTCTTGCCCTCTGCTTGGAACGTCTCTGGTGCTGACGGTGGTCTGTGCAGGACCTGAAGACCATTGGGACGTCGAAGAGAACGGTCACCTGCACTCGCGTCCACGTCCGGCCACGGCAGACAATATTTTGTGCGCCAACATCCGAGAACATGCACCGTGGAGAGACTTCCAAGACTCCAAAACCACCACGATTCGCTGGACAGGTACCACCACTTTCGTTCTGAGGACAGATCGAAAGACAGCCACAGCTGCTCCACCAATTGGTGAATCAACAACAGAGGGAAACAGACCTGAAACACCAGCACAGGGAACCAACAGGGAGGCACTGATGCACCAAAACACTGGAGAACATGATCCAACACCGCCTCCAATGGCAGCAGACACACCGCTGCACCCTCCCTCAAGCACAGGGGAAGAACCAGAACCACCAGAACAGAAGATCACTGGCATCGTTCCCGAACACCAGCAGGTTCGGCTGGTGTCAGCTGCAGGTTCCATGATTTCATCTTCAGGTGCTCACTTGACGCTTGGAGGAGCTTTGTGCCGTGCGCAACTAGTAGGTGTTGGTTGTTGGACCTGTGCGGCCGGGTTCCGTATCACGACGACGGGCCTTTCCATCTGCTCCACCTGGTGCGTCACGCCAGCAGCAGACGCGTTGGCCGGTGGGGTGGTGATATTGGATGGCTTGGTGTTGCCGAAGCAGTGGCGGCGTCATTGTCGGCCATGGCTGCTTGCTTCTGAAGGTGAAGCTGTGAAAACACGGAAGCAGGCGCGACCCCTTTTTGAATCCCGCTCTTGAGCCAAACGTTACAGTCGGTTTGACTGTATGTCTGTTCATCCACTCTTCTCTGAAGAGGTCTGACTGGTC